CTCTTGGGATGTAGGTTAGAGAGAGGAAGGTTTCTTGCGGCCTCTCTCTTCTTTTTTTTTTTGTTTAATCTTGGGTTTGAGATAAAATGGGGTGCCTTTGATTCCTTTGGCCAAGAGAGGGGGACAAATTATTCTTTGACAATGCTAGTACATACTATTCATTTATTCCCACGAGTGATATTGCAACTTGAGATAATTTTATAGATTGAAACCTTGGCGTCCACTTAATAACTCCCACATGATTATTTTCAAAAAGGAAAATGCGTTTTGAGTTGTTTAACACTTATCTAGCTTTCTAAACGTTAGACTATGTACATTCAATTTCAGGATGTTATTTATTCATGCTCACATGGTGCATTTTGGATTTTATTTTATTTTTTTCTCTTATTTTGTTGGAAGCTGGTCTCTAGGGCGGAGAAATCCAATGCCCAGATTCAGGGATCCTAAAAATGCTCCTATAGTGATATTTGTCCGAGGGTGTAAATAAACAATGTGCTCCCCAAGAGCACGAAATCATTGGACTAAAAATAAAGTACGCATGGGATGTAACCAGGGCATAAAGATCAACCTATTATTTTTTTTAATATCGGTATAAGTCTTCCATTTATGAAGTAATGGAGCATATGGGTAAGTGGAGTTTTTTTTTTTTCCTATAAAGCGGTGGGGGAGAAGGCCCCTTGCCTATTTTCATTAATAATAAAAAGAAACACAAAATGCAGCTCATAATTTTACAACTACGCAGTAGGGAAATTGTCTGATATCATGAAGTAAAAAAAGAAAGATATAATCCAACGGTTTAGAGTGTTAGCATAAGAGGAGGGTACCTTTATTAACAAGTGTATCAGTTACAGTATCTTTTTAATAAATACAAATAATGATTTGCCCACTATTTAAGTTGACAAGAGAAAAATTACCTCTTTTTTAACAAGTGTATCAATCACGTATCTTTTTAATAAATACTTATAATGATTTACCCACTACATAAGTTGACAAGAAAAGGCAAACAGTTAACATGCCTCTGATTTCAAAATTAAAGGTCAAGATATTTCATACTAATTGGGGTCTTAAAGCTGCAACACGTTTGTTTTTTTCCCTTTTTTACCAAAAGATGAACTGCAATGCAGTTTCTTCGTAAATGACGAGCTGACTTTAAGCTTTTAAAAAAATGGCAAATGACCCACTCTTTCTCTCTCTCTCTAGCTTTTTGTCTCTCTATAAAATATCAGTTATCTCTCCCTCAAAAGGTGAATTCACTTTGACATTTTCAAATAACAAAGCATCTTAATCTCTTTCTCCCTCAATCAATACCAGGAAAATTTCAAAACAGCAACACGCGGTAACAATGGAGCAAATTCACCGCCTCCTTTTATGGGTATACCTGACACCTCATCGGACTAGGTCCTCGTGGCAATGGACTCGGGCTTGACGGCTAGACCCGACCTGGGTCTCATGCTATATTTCGGGACCGAGTCCTAGGCTCCCATGGTTGTCACCCTAAGGCCAGGTGATCTCATCTGTAAAACCTAGGCTTGGGCCATAAGAATTGAGGTGTGGATCAAGCCAGGCCAGACTAGGATTTCGCTGTTTTTTTTTTTTGTTTTTGTCCTTTTTTGGTTGAATTTTGTGATGGTTTCTCTTTTCTTTTCTCTCTTTTTTATTTTTTTTTGTCCACTATTCATTTATAGTTCCAATAAAGTTTTAATCTTGCAACAATAGAAACAAAAAGTTAATCATGGTAATGAATTATCGGTTGTTTGGCAATGTGCAATATAAAAATATAAGGCTATCTATTTAAAAAGTTTCATTCAACATAGTTTGCTTAAATTTTTTTAGTCAGAATATCTAAAAAAAAATGCCAATAATTTGAATAATATAGTAAACATATGTACCAAACAACTAACAAGTTAATATTATCCAAAGTAATATTAATTTCATATAAGGTAATCTATTTCAAGTAAAGCTACTTGTCATGCAAATAGGTCATATATATTTATATAATGTGTATAAATATATAATAGTGTTTTGAAACATGGATCGGTTGAGTGAACAGGCCGTCCGAGAAATTGATCCAATACGGCAATCTAGCCTAGAGAGACAAATAAAAAAAAGAAAAAAAAAAAAAAAAATGTGGCAACTAGGCGATCCGACAGCGTTAAGTTACATGGTTCCCTGACAAAACTAGTTAATTGTCTGACATAACCCACTGGTTCCCGCCGATTTCCCATCCGAATCGGCCGATTTCAATTTAGATCGACATTTTTCCAAACACTCATATGTATATTTTATATGCCAAGCTTGGGGCCAACGAGGTCCAACTTTTAGACTAAGCTCACATCTCAAAACAATTCAGGCTAGTCCTAGGCCCAGCTGGAGAAAAGGGGACTGGCTCAGGCCAAGTTTAGGCCCGCTTGAGCCTGACCAGTCCGAAGCCCCAAGAAGAGGCAAAGGATCCCCAATTGTCCCTAATCACTACCAGTCAACAAAAGAATAGCAGGATTGTGTGTGATTTTGAGAGAAATACTGTATAACAAGGTCCTGCACTCCCACCCAATGTTTAAAGACCTAGATCAAAGGGGCAAATCTTTCACCCATAGATCTGTATCGGATTGCTAATTAGGATCTGGTGTAGATCGGTCCAAATTTGTGATCAAACAATGTTAAAATAAATAAATTTTAAAAAAGTAAATAGGGGATTATAGGGTGGAGATTGAGAGTGATATAATAAAACATTAGATAAGTTACAGAAAAAAAAAATATAAGCTACTTTTTTAAGGGCAACTGAACTCGGATCTCTACCATCCTAGAACCAATTTAATAACAATCGATTCCTATTCAAATCGAAATCACCTACCCGATTGGCTAAGAAGAGGGATGCTTTCATGGTGTACACTTGGTAAAACCGTGGTCCCTCATGTCATTGCCACATGGACTACGATGGGCTGAAAGTAACAATACAAGAGACATGATCCCAATCCCACTCTCCAACTTCAATGGTTTGTTGTCCCAAATTTTCTCATATTTTTATAGATTTTTTACAAATTCACAAGATTAATTTGACGAACACACACTTGAGGACTATGATCGCTATATTTGAGGTACACTTCAAAATTTTACTGGAAAATAGTGTTTTGACACAGGAAGTCTTTGCAATGAGTTACTATGTTCATGCTCTTAGCTGTAGAATTTGAAGCTCTCAAAATAATGTAAATATACGAGATTGACGGTTCAGAATCTTGCCACAAGATGGACCGTTTTTAAGGTTCAATACTTGAAAATAACTTTTTTTCCAAATAATAATTTTCGACTATATTTGAGGTACAACTTTATAAAGCCGACGCCCAACAAAATATTTTGAAAATAGATAACGCACAAAGTAATTTTTCTTTATTCTTTAGATGTCATCCACATTTTTTTTTTTTGGGTGATAGGATTTGAGCCTAATTTAATATATGGTAAAATTCATGGTATATGAGAATGGAAAAAATTCCTATAAGATTGCAACTTTATGCCATAGAAGTAAGATGCACCTCAAAAATCTAATAATAAATATGTTTTCTAAATTGAAATTTTTTTTCAATTTATCATCTTGATATCGGATGTTTGTATATAATGAAAAAAAATTGAATTTCAAGCCTTAAAATAGTTCATTTTGTAACAAGCTATCTAGAAGATTTATTTTCAAAATTTTTAAGTGTTTATAGATATCGGATATATACCTTTTTTTTAATTTAAAGTTTCATAATTAGAGTTGCACATGGATTAGGTCTGCGGTAAAATTTAAAGGTGTGCCTTACTTGTATAGTGCTGAAGGGCCACCTCAACAAAAAAAAAAAAACCTTTTATTCAAAATAAAAGGAAAAATTTTATATAAGGTGTCAACATAATACTGTATAAGTAAAGTGCATCTAAAAAACCCACTAGAGAAGGTTGTTCCTATGCAGAAAAACCCTCAAATCAATCATCTTGACCTCGAGATTCTTAGACATGAAAAAAAAAGGGTTTTTAGTCATAAAAATTGTTCATCTTCTGACATATTTTTTGAACCGTCCATTTTCAAGATTTTCAAATGCATATAGATCTGGTTGATTGTCACTATTTCTAAAACTTTAAATTTCATAATAAGGAGAAACAATATATTTTGATATCATCCCAAGGCTTTGCCACACCTAAAGAGAATTTTTGTTATAGATTTGAGGTGCACCTCACTTCAATAGTATAAGGTTGCTACCTTATACAAACCTCACCCTTATCAAAACTCTTATTTATATTAATTAATAAAAAAAAAACAACACATTATGATTTGCAGTTGCAAGGGCAGTTATTTGCCGTCAATAAATGACGGCGTTTGAAACGTGCTCATACTCCAGCGTTTAAAGAAAAATATTGGTTCATTTTCTTATTATTTTCGTAATATTCTTTTACAGCGTAATATTCATTTTTGACTCTTTATATAAGTTCGCATTTGATTCCTGCATATTTTATGAAGAACATTTCGCCTTTTCCCGATGCCCTAGAAAAGCCAGGCCGCTCTCAATATATTCCTCTCTCTCTCTCCCTTTCCCTCTCTGTATCTCTCTCTCTCTAAATCCATAACACAAGTCAAACCCTAGCCTTTCTGAAATTATAACTTTATGGAAACCTAGCTTTTCTCCTGAAACCCTAGCTTTTCCCGGGGTTTCATGGCGACGGAATCCTCGACGGAATCGACGATTTCTCAGATTCCGGCTATTCTAGTCCTGTCTATGAATCAATCGGATAAGGCTTGTTTTGTGTGAAAAAGGAAACCCTAATTCGTGGATTTGGAGTGACAATGTCGTTTTCATGGACTAAGCTGAAGAGATCTATGTCTCTGTTACTTCGCACTAGAAAGGACGACGATGAATCTGAAGGAGATCGAGCTTCTTCGACGGTGGACCCTGAGGTGCATTCAAAAACGTCTATCCCTTCATCATCAGGGCTTTTGTTTAACAAAAGTGGAGGTAGATTATCAAAGGTGATGTTTCATTTCTGGTTTTCTAAGTCAGATCTGACTGCATTTTGGTTGAATTCCTGAAATGGGTCAGTTAGCGTTTTGCCTTCTTGTCTGGGTCCTTTTGGTTGCTTTTCCTATGAAATATGCAAATTTGGGATTTATCTGCTTGTCTTTGTGGATCATTTTGGTCGAGTAGCTGAAGAATAGCGTGAAATATGGTGTTAACTGCTGTGCTGTAATGTAATTGGTGTTTTATCTGCTCTGTCTAGATAATTTTTGCAGTTTCCTGAATTGTTTCAATTGATCAACTTGTGTGATGTATATATATTAGGCTAACTTTTATCTTCTGTATATATATTGGCATGACTTTGTACATTGGTGATTGGTGTTAAAGCCTCTGCTTCCTAGGCTTCTGCTTGTGTGTTTTAGGTTCTGTTTTTAGACCACATTTCTGTACAGCACGTCAACCCAGAGGTTTTCTCATTTTCAACTGAGAGGCCCGACCTGTGGGTCCTCTCCTTCTATCAGTGTATCTTTTCTCCCCTTTAATTCAATGTTAACTTTATCAAAAAAAAAAAAACTTTTATCTTCTGTTTTCTGGCGATGCTTTCATTTTTTCTGCTGATGCTTTCATTTTTTGATATCCATTTAGAGTTTTGAACTGTTTACATAAATAATATCTGTTCACATTTTGGGATTTTGGGACCATTTTGGAGATTTGAACAGTTAAATATATAAGTAGTATCTGCTCGTTTCGGTGTAAAAAGGTAATTCCTCATACAATGTTAGAGGTCTATGGATGTTTTAATGAATTTCCCATGTTAAAATGCAAATTTGAGTTTTATAATTCCGTATTTCATTTTCTTGGATTGTGTTGGAAGATTTGTCATATGTAACACTTGAAAGGGGGATTTTTCTGCTTGTGTTGGGTATGTGGTTAGTTAGTTTGGAGGATCTTGCAATACAATGGATATGGTTGTTTCATTAGTTATGTTTGTTTTTGTTTTATTGTAGTTTGTATAGATTGGGGAGCACACCCTTTTTGTTTTTTGTTTCACAACATTGTTTTCGTATTTGCAATATTATTATGTTTATTGAAAGGGTAATGTGTTTCTGTTCATGCTTTGATGTTTACAGAACAGAACTTAGGAATCTGGTCTTCTGTTCATCTCTGTGTTTCTGGTATAAAATTTATATCTCATAACCTTTTTAAGAGCTTTTGATGGCGTCTTCATGAAACCCTACAAGTTCCTTTTACAGTGAAGTATCTCTCTATGGAGAGGGGAACATTTTCTCACTTGTGAAACCATGTGTCAACATTCATCCGAGATTAATAATTATAAGTGTATTTGATTACTATATGTTTTTTGACATTCATATTGAGATATCAACACAGAATACAGCTCTTGTACTGTGTTTAGAATATTAGATTTGGAGACTGAAAATTATATAGATGGGACTGTGGGACCTTTTCAGTGTGTCATGTTCATTAAAACAGATAGCTGAGATTTGATTCCTTTAGATGGAGTGCTCTAGAAAGTGATTGTTAGTAACTTTGTTGACAATTAAGTGATTCTTAGTAACTTTGTTGACAATCTTATATTGTTTTGTACATTAACTATGCTAAGAAATTCTTTCTTATAATTCTTTCTTATATCAGTTCTTGATTATTTTTTATAAATTCTTAATGTGATATACAAAAAGAAGTGGGCGAAGTGGCAAATGTGACTTATTTTGATAAGTCAAATGAGTACAATGTATTTTTTTTTTAATTTAATGTGGGGATATGTGCTGCAGATGATTACCTGTATACATATATTTCATGCTTTGTACACCCTAGTGATTGTTGGTCCCGGATTTTTCTTTTTGAGTTTATTTGGATATAGGTAAATTGCGACAGTTTTTAAGTGCTTACGAAATTGGTGTTTGTTAAGGTACCTGAAAATATTGATAGGGTTGTCTCCGAACCAGCATTCAGTTTTGTGGACCTGAATGTGCTTTTCTTGCCTTGCATAAAAAGGAACTTTTGTTTTCCCTAGTATTTTCAGATGGGAAATCTATGATGAAAAAAACTCTGTTGTGTGTCCTTATGCCATGCTAAGCTGCCACCGTTTTTCAATTTTAACTTTGCCCTACTAAAAAAGGGCTGCTTGTCCTATTATCTTTGTGGGAAGATCTAAAATTATATTATCAGCAAACAAATTAAATTGCCTTTTAGGTGCAGATGCGAGGCAGATGCCAGAAGTACCCTGCGAAAAGTTTGAAATTGAGTCGAGGATGGTGGGAAAACTTGGAAAGTAGCTTTGGTTTTTATGACAAGACAATTTTTTTAATGCTTATCTACTTTTTGACTGGCATTTCGTGCATTTGGTATTGAACTTATGTAGTATGGCAGATCAGAGTAATTCGAAATGCATTTGTTTGTTGTATGGTGCTTTTTAGGATTTCTAATTTTTTTTGTGAAATATGTTAACTTGATTTCTAATATTTGAGAACTACTTCTTGTGTCAATTGGTAAATGTTGTTCTCATGTTGCGGGGGCCATTTAGTGAATTTTGCTCTATTATAACTGCTGTTATATACTCATTAGGAAAGTGCGTAATGCAGTAAGCAGGCTTATTTGTTTTTTATCCATGTGTTCTTGGAATTAGTTGGAAGGGTTGTAGACTTGAAGTTTCTTAGTCACTTGCGGTGTTCGATTTGTTTAATCTATAATTGGAAAGGAGCTCAACTTTTTCATCCTTGATATTTCAGAGTTCTTTGCTTAATAGGATTTTCTGAAGATGTGTTCCTCTTGCTATCAGGAGAGGATGTTTTGGCCCTTGCTCTCTTGTGTCAATCTTTAGTAGCAACCTTGTTACGGTATTTGTCCTCTTAAATGTTTTAATTATTTGAAGATGGATTACACCATTGGCCTGGTGATGTTAAAGAGTATTTACTATGCACTTCTATGTTCATTGAGGTTCTATAGTTTTTATGAAATCATTTTGTGTCATAGGAGATGGAAACCTTTGGAAGGAGTGGTTTGGCCATCAAATTATTGCATGTGGTGGAGGGCATATTGCCTCATAGTAATATTGAAGTTAATTCTTTCATGTTGAAGTCTATTTTGAAATGCATATTGTTCTATGAGGAAATTATTGTTGTGGCTTCATAAAACTCGTATATTCAGATTCTGACTATTGTGAGTCAGGGGTATTTAAATGATGTAAAGTGTGTCTATAAGCACTTTAACAGTATTTAATTTAGTTAAGTCCCTTTTTGTGAAATTCCAGGCAGTTGCATTGTGCGTGTTTTTTCTAGGCGAGATTTATTGTGTCCCATTATTTGTTTTGGATATAATATGATGATGAATGTATTATAGGGTTATGGATATAATATGATGATGACTGTTTTATAGGCTTATTATTCAATAAAATTGTCTTTCTAGAATCCATAACATATTACATTGTTTATGTTCGAAGTAGTTTGCGGCTGATTTTTGTGCCTTTTCTCTTGAAAATTGTTATTTTAGATTGCTCACAACTTTTCTGAGTTAGTATGCTCGGTATCATAATTACTCAAGAAATGTCAGGTAATCAGGTTTTACACGGATGATGATAATCTGGATCTGTTTTGATTGATGCAATTGAAATACTGAAGCATCTTCTTGTATTCACTGTGTAAATTTCGTTATTGAATCTATGCTCCTTTTTTTTCATAATGAACTGCCAATTGTTTCAGTGCCTTGCCTCTGAATATCATCCACTGATATACTGTTTTTCTCCTTAACTTCTTCCGAAAAAGCAGAAGATATGTGCAATATGCCTTGGGATGATGAAGCCGGGCAATGGGCATGCCATCTTCACAGCAGAGTGCTCCCACTCCTTCCATTTTAACTGCATTGCCTCCAGCTTCAAGCATGGCAACCGCCTCTGTCCTATGTGCCGGGCCAAATGGAAAGATATTCCCTTCCAATCCCCCTCTCCTTCTGACCCCCTCCATCGTAGGTCCCGTGTCAACCCCTTGGTGGTGGAACCTGCCACCTCTTTTCCTGACCTTAACCCCCACCTTTCTCCTCACCGAACCCACTACGACCCCACCGACCCTTACACAACCCTTGAGCCCGAGCCTGACTCCTTCTCTGATGACGAGCCCTTAGAGCTCACCACCGAGCCCAGTACTGAGCTTGCCGCTGTATCAAGAAGCCGAGAAGCCATGACCATTGAGACCCACCTTGAGTTCCCAGCTGTACCTGCTTCTGAAGCATCTGATGCTTTCACTGTTTTGGTTCACCTACGAGCCCCATGCCTGGCCTTTTCCGGTGAGTCCCTTGACCGGGTCCCAATTGACCTGGTCACTGTGCTCGACGTGAGTGGTAGCATGGCAGGCACAAAGCTCGCTTTGCTAAAGCGAGCTATGGGTTTCGTGGTCCAAAACCTTGGGCCCACCGATAGGCTGTCTGTTGTGGCATTCTCGTCAAATGCAAGGAGGCTGTTCCCTTTGACAAGGATGAGTGAGCAGGGGCGGCAGAGGGCTCTGATGGCGATCAATGGGTTGACATCGTGCGGGGGTACCAATATTGTGGATGGGCTGCGGCATGCGGCCCGCGTGCTTGAGGAGCGGACACGAGCTCGCAACCCCGTCTGCAGCCTTGTGCTCCTCTCCGATGGGCAGGACACCTACAACTCTGTAGGTGCCTCCCCCCACAGCTCCACCCCCTCTGACCAGATCCTCTCTCTCCTCCCTCCCTGTCTCAAGCGGGCCTCACACGAGGGTTTGGCTAACGTCCCAGTTCACACATTCGGGTTCGGCTCTGATCATGACGCCAATTGCTTGCACTCCATATCTGAGGCCTCTGGGGGGACTTTCTCATTCATCCAGGCTGAGTTGGCAATCCAAGACGCATTTGCTCGGTGCATTGGTGGTCTACTTAGTGTTGTGCTGCAAGAGCTCAGGGTGGAGGTGGGACGTGCCTCACCGGGAGTGAGCATTGCATCGGTGCAAGCAGGTAACTACACGAGCACGGTGAGTGACGACTCAGGAATGGCCACCGTGCATTTTGGTGATCTCTATGCTGAGGAGGAAAGAGATTTCTTGATTCAGTTGAGGCTGCCCTCTCTCTCTCTACCCTCCGATGAGCCTGTGGGGGTCCTGAAAGTTGGTTGCTGGTACAAGGACCCCGTGACTTTTGCAGTCATGAGAGCAGAGGGTGAAACGGTCAGTATTCCCCGGCCGGTAAGTGTGGGGCCTGACCAAAGGCTCACTTGTGTGAAGGTGGACCGGCAGCGGAACCGGCTACGGGCTGCCGAGAGCATTGCCGAAGCACGGGAGATGGCAGAGCGTGGTGATTTTGAGGGGGCCCATGAGGTGCTTGCACGGCGGCAGGCAGCTATCCGTGCTTCACGGGCTGCCTGTGCTGGTGACGGGCTCTCGGGGCTCCTCGATGTCGAGCTCGGGCGCATGCGGGACAACATGGCGACCCAACGTGTGTACGAGCAATCAGGGAGGGCATATGCTCTTTCAGGTTTGAGCTCGCACTCATGGCAGCGGGCAACAACGAGAGGGGGAGGCGATAGCAGTGAGGGGTATCAGACGACAGCAATGACAGAGATGCTCGCAAGGTCGCAAACGCTAACATTTGCGTCGGCATCGGTGTCGCTTTCAGCTCCATTGCCCCCAGAGGGGGTCCCACGCCGGAGGCTAGCGCCGACGAGGTCGTGCAAGATGCCGTCAAGGCGGTGGGGCGGGTGAATAAATATTTGTCTTTTGTCTATTTGTTTGTGATTTTTGTTTTTCTTTTCTTTGGGGGGTAATTTTTGGATCTATGATTTTTGTCTTCCTTTTCGCTAAGCGAATCTCTGAATTTTTTGTGGTTGTATATAGAAGAAAACATAAGGGGAATTATGGCATCATTGAGTTTCTTCTTGTTTTTTAAGGATTGAAGGGAGAGGGAAAGGGACAAGGAAATTAAAGAGAGTCAAAAATAAAAATCACTTAGCTAAGGTTTTAAGTTGATTTTGTCTTATATTTTAAATCTCTTTTTAAATAATTTCGAATTTATCTTTGGAAAAAGTTTGTATAGAGCCAAGGCTCTAAACAATCAAATTAAAACCCACATCAAAAATTTCACTAGAAGAGGTTCATTGGTGCCCAAATATCTTCAAATTGATTATCTTGAAATCAAGATGTATGGACATGGAAAAAAATAGATTTCAAGTTTTAGAAATAGTGCTCTCGTAATGTATTTTGGATCATCGATTTTGAAGATTTTCAAGTTTTCATTGATATGTTTCATCTATATTATTTTCAAAGCTTTAAGTTTTTATAATTAAAGATGAAAAATATATTTTTAGGCTATTACGAAGATTTTCAGTATTGTAACTACAGTTCTCGACTTTATTTGAAAATATGCCTTACACTTTGTTTAGAGCACCGGCTCTACACAAACGGTACCTTTTTATCTTTTTCTTTGAAAAGTGGGTGGCCAAATTGATTCTAGTTATTTAAGCTTCCTCTCTCTCTAGACTACCGGGATCGTGTGCGTTGCAATTAAATATGAAATAAATGATATGCAATAAGAGAGTATGTAGATATGAAGTAAGCAATTATGTGGAAAATTGTTCCATGCGGGCTGGACTGCATTTCCACATATGCGGTCTAGAAAGTGTAAAAAGATGGATGCAAGTTGGTGTTTTATCAGCAAACAAAGGAAATTAATGGTGCAAATGTGTTTTATTAAACTTATTATTTTTAATTTTTAATATTTTTTTATATTCGTAGTCTTCATGATAGAGATTACATGTCCTTAAAACTTAAGTCTTCAAATCTGGCTCAAAAATTAAGAGGCCCGCCTTTCTACATATGCGGACTTGGCCATATAGAAACTGGGTACTAATGCAAATGATCATGTAAACATTGATGGGGATAGTACATTGAGATGTAATAAGTGATCACATAAATAACAAAAAAAGAAAATAGTGAGTTTTTTATATTTGATTGTACTAATAAAATTTTGTCATTGTTCCTTTGATATTTGGCCGTTATTTTGTCCCCTTAGGCTTTGAATCTAAACTATTGACAATTCCATAATTGTACAATGATCGTATTGTCACTTTCTTCTCGTCCGTATCATATTTAATGGTTATCTTTTGGGATCCTACACACATGTGTGAGAGAGAGTTCTATAGGATCATTTCTCTATAATTATTTATTAGTGAGAGGCACCTGCTTCGCAATCTTGTCAGAATTTTTTTATTAATAATGCATTAATTGATACAAATATTACGAGATAATATATGAGGGACTTTCTATAAGGAGATCCTTTGTAGATGGACGTAACAATCATTCCCATTTATTAGATGTCAAATTGGATTAACGTAACAATCATTCTCATTTATTAGCTGTCAAATTGGATGGTTTGGGGTGAGTTATGAAGTCCGGGAATTTTTTTTTTTAAAAAAAAACTGTCTATTCAATGACACTTTTACAACCAACCAATTTAAAATTTAAGGGACAATATTGATTGTGACCTCCATGTACAAAAGATAAATGATTTGAAATTTAAGGGACAAAAATGATTGTGACCTCTATGTACAAAAAATAAATGATCTCTTTGCATACAATCCCAACATATTAAATCAGAAAGTAGACCATGCCTCTCTCTTTATACATGGTAATTAATTATTATATATAAGTTTGGCAAATTAAAATATTTATGTGAAATGTAAAATAACATATAAAAATTAATATAAAAATGGAATAACATAGAGATGATATTATTATGATTATACTTCAATTACAAATATTTTTATTAATTGTAAACTAACCTAATTAATATAAATTAAAATATTCTTAAATAAAATTACGTTTTGATTACTATTGATAAATAATTATAGAATTATAAGATATTTTTAATATTTTTAATTAATTTTTTAATTATTATGATATTTATCAAAATTATATAATATTCATAATATTTTTAATTAATTTTTTTGATTATTATGATATTTATCAAAATTATATAATTAATATTATTTAGGCAGCAACGGTTTTATCATAGTATAATGCAACCACACTTCTAGAAAATCATGCTTGTGTTATTTGTATGACCCAAACTTTTGCACACACTCTCTCTTCATCTCAATAATCAATCCAAAAAAAGTTTAATTTGAACCCTAGATAGGGTTAAAATGAATCCCATTCAACAACGAATGTAGACCATTCATTTGGTGAATTTCAAGATCTTAATCCTTATAAACTCAAAATCATTTTTTTCCTTTTGACCATTGTTCATCTAATAATAATAAATCCATCTAAAAATTTTGGAAGATAAAATATCATTTTAAGTCCTAGATCTAAGCATCTTATCAAAATGGATGGTCTATGTTAATTGGCCTCAAAAAATACTTTTAAGTTATGTTTTCAAATTTTCTTTTTTGTATTGTTCTTTAGAATGAAAAGATTGTATATTTTAAAATTTGGATCAAACAAATGGCTCTTATATGGTTTTTGAAGATTGTTGCATTATGTTACTATACTAATATTGTATGAAATCACTGCTCAATATTATTTATATTTATCGCAATTTTAACTTTATAACAATTACTATTACTTTGTTATTATAATAAACTATTTATATAATTATTATTACTTAATTATTATAAAAAATAATTAATTATAATAATTAAAATATTATATTTTAAAATGCTTTAAATTTAATTATTATTGTTCATATACATACAATATATTTCTAATATCAACAAAAAAAATCTCAAAGTAAGAGAATATAAAGTGAGAAGATAGTTATTTTTTTTCTTTTTCATCAAATACATATTTATACTCACATGAATATAATATCTAATTATACTTATAGGTTTGTAATATTTTTATTATATTCAAATGTTATTCTATTTATTTATGTAATTAATATACTATTCAAAATTCCTATTCTATGAGTAAATTATCAATGTATTTATGCATATTTAATTCAAGTCATTTATATTTTATTACGTGGTCTAATTTATACATATTAATTTATATTTATTTTATTGGAATGTTAACTTTATGAATGTTTTTACCAATACAATAGTATGTTCAATTACTAATTAATCACCTTTGAGTGATGAGAGAGAGAGACTCGTGAAATAAATGTGTGAATCCCCATCTTTAGGGGAGAGATGGATGAGAGAGAGAGAGGGAATGCACATTAATTGGGAGAGAGATTTAAAGGATTAATATGGTATAAATTAAATCAAGCTTGCAAATTGGAAAATTCAAAAAGCAGTTGTCAAAATAATAATGGGGGACCTCTTCTTGTTTATTATAGAACTAGTGTTGTGCACGTGCATCGTAAATTATACGAAATATTAATTATTGAAATAAATTTTCAACCTTGGAATAACATTTTCAAAAAGTTGATTATTGTATATTGTAAAAAAAAAAAAAAATCGAGTATTGAGAGATAGAGACTTGATGAATCCAATTCTACATAATGGCAGTTATAAGATAATGCTTGTTTAAATTTGCTTATAATCCCTTTATAAAAAGTCAATCTAAAATTTAAACAAATATGTAAAAGATTTGCTTGGTAAACAATAAAAGTTGAACCATGAAGAGAGGTAGACCGCAAAGCACAAAAAGTGATGCATCTTCATAGCAAAATTTTTTTGTTTTCAATTTACAGTCGGGATTTTTTAATTGAAACATAAATATAGGGTCTATATTCCCTACTGAATTACTCAAAAAGTTAAAATAAAGAAAAATAAAAAATTAGAGGAGTAATGCTCTTTTTCTTTTATAAATTTAAAAGTAAGTTATGTTATATTTTAAACTATAAAGTAGTTATTTGCATAATTTAATATAAATTTAATTATATTATCTATCTATATAAGTTCCAATTTTGGTTATTTTTTTCTTTTACATTTTGACGGCAATTAATATAAGAGTGTGGTTTGTATAGAGCCTAGGCTCTAACTAATCAAAGTAGAGCCTACCTTCCAATATTGTCGAGAAATGTGGTTTTGATATTGATAATCTTTGTGATAGTCTTAAAATATATTTTCATTTTTATTTATAAATTTTAAAGCTTTAAAAATAGTGTAGATCGGCAGATCTATGAAAACTTGAAAATCTTGAAAATTGACGGGCCAAAAATGTGTTACAAGATACACTATTTCCAAAACTTGAAATTCATTTTTTTCTCATGTCCATGAATCTGGATGTTGAGATGATCAATTTGATGATATTTGGGCATCAAAACAACCCCTTATAGTTAAGTTTTCGAGGTAAGCTCTAATTTGATTATTTAGAGCGTCGGCTCTATACAAACTTTTCCCTTAATATAATTCCCATTAAATGATATAAGGTCTTGTTTGTTTTGCACGCAATCCCTATATAAAAGGTAATTCTTAAAAGTAAACACAAATGTCAAAAGTATGTTTGGGATACAATAAAAAGCTAATCATAAAGACAAATAATTAATATGAATTGGTAGTAATTGTCTTTTTTTTCAATTTAGCTTTGGATTTTGGAAATTGAAGAAATAAAGACGAAAAATGCAAAAAAAAAAAAAGAAAAAAAGAAAGAAAGCGAATGAATTCTCTTTTTATACTTATAATTATAAGTTATATTATATTTTAAATATAGAATAAATCTTTGTGATGATATTCTATAATTTCAAATATATTATTTAGTGTAAATTACGTGGATGTCCTCCAAATCTCCTGTTATTATTAAATTCCCTCTAAATTTTGCAAATTATGTTCACACCCAAATGCCTCATTTTTGCTTTTTTGTTCCAAACTTAGCCTTTATCGGACTTTCAAGATTCAAAAATAGCCATGTTCAATATTTAGTTGTATTTCAAGAATTTTCGGACCACAACGTTAAAAAATTAGCCACAAACCATTAAAATTGTATATTTA